TAATAGTCATATAGGTATAACTATATTTTAAATATTTAATACAATTTTTAATAATTAATAATTTTAATAATATAATCCTTGGGTCTAAGTACTCTAAGTACTCTAAGTACTACTTATTCACGTGCTGAAGCAGTCTCATTTCGCCGCTTGCTCCATGTAAAGTAAAATATATTAATATTTTATTTCTATATACATTAAATTATACTCGTATTTTGTCTAATATTATCAAATTTAAAAAAAAAGGGTGAGCAAGTGGATATTTCTCTGTTGTATAGTAAGGGTGAAGAGTAAGTTACTTTAATGTTTAAATGTTAAATTTAAATGCAATGACACTTATATATGAACGGAAATGATTTGTCATCTCTATAATTAAATAACACCTTGTATTTCATTTTCAATTCTCAAGCTTTTTATACAAAGTTTTTGAAAAATTTTTGATTAAAAAATAATGAGCAAATATATGTGATTTTCACTAACTATGTCAGTATTCTAACTTCAAAAGCTTATATATAAAAAAAAAAAAAACAGCACCTATGTATTTTGATAAATTGTGAATTACTGTAAGATCAACTTTTGTGGAACCTTTCATTACATTTTCAAGTATATATTGTCTAAGCAAAATTTTTTTATCAATATTTAAAAAAAAATAACTTAAAAAATCAAATATTTTAAGCGTCTATTACTAGCATAACAATTAGAGAAATATTTTCACTATTGCTGATGAAAGTTTCAAGTTTCTACGAATTATACGCATTTTGAATCAAAACAAATATCTTCAATCGTTTTAAGGTATCTATATCGTTATTTTATGCGATTTCGTAAAAATCAAATTTCATAAGTTCATAAATTTTTTTCTATATAAACCCTGGAGTTTTTTTTTACAGTTATTTGAAGGAAAACTTATGGAGAACCTTGTATTAGTTTTTTTTAATCTTGGGTAACTATATCACAAACATTTTTTGGATTTTCAACTTCGAAATTCCTTGCAAATTTTCGCGATTTTGACATATTTTGTATACATTTGAACTTTAAATGCTTGTAAATAAAAATCGCGACTAACGATATTTGATTTTTTCACTACGATAAGTAGGTACTACTTATAATAAACCTTGTATTAAATCTTAAAGTTTTTTTTGAAATGCTAATTTTGTTTTCAGCATTTAAAAAAAAAAAAACTTAGAAAAATTGAATACTTTAATTGTCTATAAATAGTTTTAAAAAAGCTAAAATATTTTGAAAATTCAATAATAAATAGATAAATTTTGGTGAACATTTCAAGTATATACAATGATTTGCTTTTGCAAGTTACAGTAAAGTAAAAAATCGATTTTGTCGAAAACTATATAGTTATTCGTAAAAATTCCCGTTTTCTGTTATTTTTTTAGGATTTTTCTTGACGCTTTTGAAAGCTACTAGAAATTATTTACTTTTGACCCCCCTCCTCATCAAAGTACTAACTAGATTAACTTTCTTTTTAGAAACTAAATTGAAGTTAAAAAACAAAGCACTATTGTCTATTTATACTCCAAAACGTGATGAGTGATGAAAAACACAAAAATAAAACACACACACATACATCATTGTTAAAACAATACATTCATTACTCTGTTCAGAATCTAATTGTTGAGTTTTTAGTAGTTTATGAAATAGTAATAAATTGGGAGAGGGGCCTAAGCCTCCTTAATTCTTAAGCGATTTTATGAGGCCTAGGTTTTATAAATTATAAGTTATAATTTTAAGAGGGTTATGACTCTGATGTCCTGACTAACCTGCAGTACCTTTTAAGAGTGCAGTTTAAGAGACAAGAATTGAGTGTATACTGTACCTCGTTATTTAGTAGATGAGTCATTACATTGAATGTGTTAAATTTTAATTCAATGACAAATCATTGTATTCGAAAAATGATTTTGAACAGAGTTGGTCTGTCAGCCTATATTATAAAGTATATGTTATAATATATTATTATTGCTTCTACAGAAATTAATTTTATTATTAATAGGGCTTGGATTTATAATATTTATATGCAACAGTATACTTTTTTCAGTTTCTGATTATTGTTTTTGTAAGTAATGTCCACGAATCACCTCATGATGAGATAAACCATGGTGATTTTATTTTTCATACTTTTGCACATTTTGGACAAAATGTATATTATTGCATATTTTGAATAAAATTAATATTATTGTATATTTCGACTATAAAAATGCGAAAAATGCATGTTTTGCGGTATAAGTATTTCGTTTTTAGATGTTTTTATCATACGACAAGTACGTATTGATACTGTTCAAAAATATCTTTTCAAGGTTATTATTTAGTCTAACAGAAGACCGTCCAGTTTTGAAAATTCAAACATCATGTAATTGTTTTGTGTTATACATTTGAATAGCGTAAATAATTAAGAATATTATTTAATTAATTTTAAAACATATGATTTTTTTTAAGTGTATATTTCATATTTTTGGCATACACATATAATATTAATTACATATTTTTAATAAGCCAAATACATATTTTACAATATTTATTGCATATAAATCCTAGCCCTAATTATTAGTAATACGTTAATACAGTATAAAAGGGCAATAAATTAAAATAACTTAAATACTTTGAAAATATCTTTTGAACATAATTAAATATGAAAATACAACTTTAAAGTTTCAGCGATTATTTTTGAATTGCAATAAAACAGTTAAAATTGTATCATTATTTATTGTTTTTAATGTTCAGATATACATTTTCGTCAAATTCAAATTTCAAATGTTTATTAATTAATATTGAAGTTAATGAGTAATATCTACTAATTATTAGAGTTCGGAAGTTGTAGGAGTTGCATATTATAATACTAAACGATAAGAAGTAAAAAACACACGTTTTCACTAATAAAAACTGTTTCATTCAAAGTAACTACACTACGTTGAATATTATTTATAGACTATGTCCACTATTTAATTACTTCAACTGCCTATTATTAAATGACTATTGGTTTTAACAATTAAGCATCAATTCTAAAAAAAATTGCGATTTTTTGTGAATCTAAATCTTGTTGTTTTTGAAAACTTGCGTGTTTTTAATGTATTATAATGTGTATTTATCTATTTGTAATTACCTAGTAGGGTTTGGAAGTTATAGGATTAAACTCAATATTGTATAGCTCGGATTTCTGACTTGGTCTGCTGTAAATGAAGAGCATACTAAACAATATGCAACTCCAATAAGTTCCAAACCCTAATAATAAGCATTAAAACATTATAATTCATAATTTATAAGTAATCAAAAAAAATAAAAAAAATACTGGTCATCTATTTTGTGTTCAAAGTTTGTGCATTGCAATTTATTTTTGTATTTTTAAATGTTAGTAGACGATTTTAAAATTTGAACATTATTTATTATGCAATATAAATATGTATTAACCAGTGGCGGCCGTGTGTTTTTAATAAACTAGTGCACATCCAAAAAAAAATATATCCGATATCATATATATATATGTATAATATATATTATATATATTATAAATTGTATTAAATAATTGTTTACAAATTTTAGTTATTTATCAATTACCTTTTATTTTGTTTATATTTTAAGTCTAGAGTAAGGCCTACTTTTATTTTCATCTTCTTTTCAAATGAGATTGTTGAAAAATTGCATAGTAGTATTTGCTGGAAGTACTGAATTCATTTTAAAAATTGAAAACAAATACACAAATAATAATATACGTTAATGTTGATTGTTGGTGGTCGATAAAAACATAAAAAAGATTGTTGTTTCGAATTTCCGACGGTGATTAACATTATCAACTGATAATCGGAATATAATAAACGAATGAGAGTAAAAATAAATTATTATGCCCATGCCGATGCGCAGCGACGCGGTGACGTCGAAAATAATACACGGAAAACAACTTAATTGGTTAAGTGCACAGAAACGAATGTGCACGTCAAGTACATTATAACGCGGGTTGTTTGTTTCAACTTGTTTTAATTTTTAGGCTACGGCTACATTGGAATCGTTTCCGATCCGATCCGATAATCCGACTAGTCGGAAGAAAAACAAACTATGTATAATTTCGGTAGTGGCTAGATTTATCCGTTCCGACCGTTTCCGACGTACCAACCAGTCGGATACGTCGGTTTTAAAACAAATTGATTTGTTTTTCATCCGACGAGTCGGACAAAATAAAGTTTTTTTTGATTAAAATAGTAATCAAAATTATTTTTAAAATTGATTTCTACCATATTTATTGCGTGCGAGTGTGCACAGGTCACGACATGTACCCACACGTGTTGTACTGGTCGTCTTGTCGTGCCTGACATTTTGTCAATTGTGTCTGCAGTGTGTTCGATAAATTTGTTAAATTAAAATAATTGAAATTAAAATTGTTTAAGTTTTTAGCCAAAATATAATATAATATTAAAATTTAAAAGTGAAATAACTTAATAAATTTAATAAATTTAATAATGGAATACGATAAAGAGCGCCTAATTGAAATTGTTCACTCAAAACCAGCATTATGGGACAAAAAGACATCACAATATCAAAACAGAAACTTGAAACAGAAAGAATGGAAAGACGTTAATAAAATATTGGGAGGTAAGTCAAATATTATTTTATATAATTTTTACATATTTATTATATTGAAACATTTGAAACTTAATTAATTTTTTCATCATATATAAAAGTAACACAAATTAATAAAAAGTACATAGTACATAATATTATAGTAGTATTATAGTAGTATCATTGATTTTATAATATACAGATAAGCCATTTAATTGTTTATAGTG